TATATATATATATATATAGATATGTATATATATATATATATATATATATATATATATATATATATATATATATATATATATATATATATATATATATATATATATATATATATATATAAAGCTTTGAAAATGTTTACTGAGAGACTTGACAAGTACGAAAAAGAAAATATAAATAACCTTATAAAAATAAATAAATTCGAAAATGATTTAGAACAAACAAATAAAAAAGTCGTCACCTTAGAAAATGATTTACTTGAAATAGAAAAAATTATTCAAACCAATGTCGATATTGCTTCAGAAAAATTTGAACTTGTGAAATCAAAAACAAAAGAGATAAGTTCAAAGCTAAAAGACAACAGCGAGATATTAAAAGTAAAAAGTAAGCTTAGAGAAATAGAAGATAGATCCAAAAGAAACAATCTGAGAGTCGATGGTTTAAAGGAAAGCAAAAATGAAAGTTGGAGTGATAGTGAGGCTAAAGTGTTAAAATTATTTGAAGAAACTCTTGGGTTGAAAGATATAAAAATAGAAAGGGCACATAGAACTGGTTCTAGAGACAATAAAAAAGTCAGATCCATAGTTTTGAAATTGCTTAATTATAAAGACAAGGAAAACATTCTAAAAAACTCTCGGAAATTAAAAGGGGAAATTATTTATATCAATGAGGATTATTGCGCGGAGACGATGCTAATTAGAAAAGAATTACGGGCGTGCATGAAAAAAGCACGAGAAGCTGGAATGTTTGAGTATATTTCATACAACAAATTGGTGGTTCGCGAAGGGTCTCGAAAAGCAACGTAAATATTTTATATTTCTTTTAACAATACTTTATTTTTATTTTTTATTTATCAATAGTTTTTCAAATTTTAATTTAATTTTTAGAAATGGAGAACAATCTCACTTATAATATTAATGCTAAAAATATTGTTTTTAGCGATAATAACTCTGATAATCATGAAACCTAATTAGAAAGTGAAACCTTATTAGACTCTGAAACCTTATTAGAAAGTGAGTAGGGGAGAGTGGTACTGAATGGACCACAAAATTCAACTTTTTTGTAAAAATAATTTTTTCCCATATTGTCAACAACTATGGCGGATATATTAATTCAGAAGTCAAAATTAATACCTTAACTAACAATCCTTAAAAGTTGTAAACCATTGCGCAAACAGAACATAGGCAAAATGTGCGATAAATGTGACCCGTACCAAATTATTTAGTGGTCCATTCAGTACTGTTCATTGTACTGAATGGACCAACCCTTGTACTGAATGGACCACAAAAAAAGGTTTTTTTTTTTTTTATAAAAAAGATCAATATCTCTATCGCTAATAACCATAGCCGATATATTAATTCGGGAGACAAGATTAATATCTTAACTAACTATTCTTGTATATTGTATATTATAATAAAAGTTGTAAACAATTGCGCATAACAAGTTACATTATGCAAAGCAATTAGGGTGATAAATGGAGTTTAAAAACAAGAAAGAAGTATGTTGAGACATTGATATTTCTGAATTATTTAATACAACTTTAGACCGAAGTCTCAATTAGATAATCAAATTACAATAATCACAAACATATTGGCTGGCATTATCTGCACTTGTGCAAGCTTTATGTGCCCAGCTCGCACACTGTCTGCAACGGTACCATACTTCGTTGTCACGACCCATTTCTTCACATATAGCACACAAATCGTAATTTGATGTAATACCTCCACAAAAATTTAAACTATCTTTGACACCATTATCATTTCTTTTAACAAGAATATCATCAGCCTCATCATTGTTATATGTCATTAATGGAAACTTTAGAGTTTTTGAGTTGCTTGATTTCTTTCTTGATTTCCTTTGACGTTTATTTTTAGCATCATTTTGTTTTTCAGAAAAGTTTTGTTTTTTTAAATTTTGCTGTTTTAAGTTTTTTTCGAAGAGCCTCTTTAATTGGAGTATCAGTTAGAATCGAAGAGGAGAGCTTTTTGCGAGCACCTTTGGTTTTTTTTAAACGAGCTTTTGCAGAAGGATAAGGGCGTATACTTTCCACATTCAGGGTATTGCTAACATTTTTGTTGACTTTAACATTTCTATTTATTTCTTCTGAAACTGGATAGATGTTGAGTGCTTCAGGATTAGGTCTAATAACTTCTACTGAAACTGGAATGATATTGAGTGCTTCAGGATTAGGTCTATTAATATCAACTGAAACTGGGTTGATGTTAAGTGCTTCAGGATTAGGTCTAATAATTTCTAATGACACTGGATTGATGTTGAGTGTTTCAGGATTGGGTCTATTTGTAACCTGAGATAAAAAAAATCCTCATCCTTCCACCGATCAGGTTGATAAGGACTTATTCCAGATACTGAAAAACCACTAATGATGTTAACTGGCATTGATACTTTTGCCCAAGCCTTTCCAGAAATTTCTGCAATGTCATAGATTGAAACAGTTTTTCCTGGATGTGATACCAACCAGCTATCAATTTCACGATTATAATGACGTTTGAAAGGTCCATACACTGTTATATCTAACGGTTGTAGTTTGTGTGATGTATGGGGTGGGATTGTTAAAACAATTACACCATTATCTGATACTAAGTCAATGAAGTTAATTGACATATGAGACTCATGATTATCTAGTATCAACAGCACAGGGTTTGTCTTAGATTGTCGAACACTTTTTATAAAATGATTAACCCACTCCATAAAGGTTGATTCCACCATCCACCCAGATTTGTTTGCAGTGCCAACAGAACCAGGAATTGAATTTCGCAGAAAAAAAATCTTTAAAATGAACACGTAGAAATATGTAGAATGGTGTTATTGAGGATCCACTTGCATTTACTGCATTGCACATTGTTACCAAGATACCTCGTTCTGCACTTGTAACAGAAGCAACTTGCCTCTCTCCTCTCTTGGCTAAAACATGCTCTAGCACTTGTACAGTAGTAACACCAGTCTCATCAACATTCCATATATCATTTGGTGAAAACTTGTATTTAATCAAAAGACTTTGCAGATTATTATAATATAGATTTACATTATACTTTTTGAATGCTGACATTCGACCAATTGATGTTGCCTCTGGTTTTCTTATAACAAGTTCTGGATGACGACTTAAAAAAGCTCTAAACCAATCTACACCTGCATGTTTATTTGTTTCCCAAGGTTTAGCAGAACCTCGACGAGAATGTGGACACTTTTTCTTAAGTTTGAGAGCATATTCAAATGTTAGCGCTCTTAGCTTAATAGGACTTAACCCATATCCCATTTTTGCAGAAACTAAACAATATTGAACCAGCTCTTGTTCTTCTGTTACTGAAAAAATTTTCATAGAACTGTTACTATATGGAACACATTGCAATTTATTCAATCCATTTTGAGATAGTTGAGCTTCTTTTATTCGCCTCTTAAGAGTTAAACGTTTGACTCCAAATATCTCAACAGCTTTTCTTTCAGATAGAGTTTTATTTAAAACATTTTCAACTGCTTGGATCATATTATTGGGATCCCAATCACCTTTTAGTGCTGTTGCTTTTCGATGTCTCATAATACTTCTGAAATAAATAAAACTTGTTTATAACCATATTATTAAAAAAAATTATCGATGTTATTTTATATATATATATATTTATATATATATATATATATATATATATATATATATATATATATATATATATATATATATATATATATATATATATATATATATATATATATATATATATATATATATATATATATATATATATATATATATATAATTATCTAAACACACACACACACACATAACATGTATAAAAAACAAAATTATATAAAAGCTTGAATGTAGAATAATTTTTTTATTATGATCAACAAGCTTTAGTAATTTAAATATAACAATTAATTTACGAAATTTTATTCTTGGTGTTATTAGATATTACTTGATTTTTTGTATTGCAAAAAATACTGACCATGGTAATTGTCATTGTTTTTAAAAACGTATAAATAACATTTCAGATATATTATATAATATCTAGCATAGAGCTTATCTAGCATATTATATGCCATATAACATATCTAGCATATAACTTTTATTATATATAGTATATATAACAAATGTTATATGCTAGATGTTATTAAAAGTAATACCACCTTATTTAAATACCGTAATAATATTATGACATTCAGTTATTGAAATAATGAAACAAAATACAAATTTATAATTATTAACCTAATATGTTAGCTATTAGTCTGCTTAACTTAACATTATATTATCTGCTTACCTTAATATTATATTGAATAGTGAATTATTGAACTTGCGACCTTAAGTCTTCGTTTACTTGATATTTTGGTTTATTTCCTAACTCACATCTCCTTAATTCATTTAGATGAAAAAACTTGTGTATTTTGTTTTAGTAAGTAAAATAATGAAGCGCGATAAATACCTTCGGTGAAAAATGAACCGGTCCATTCAGTACAATCAATGGTGGTTCATCCAGTACACTAATCAAAATGTACATGTTACCCATATAATCACAGCAATCAGTAAATCATATAACATTCATTCTAATGTTATACAAAGTAAAAAATATGTATCTATAATATTATTATTAACTATAGTTAACTTTACCTTAAAAATCTAGTGTAAATTGAAACAAATTGAAAAGATAAAAATTTACTTTTAGCTCGAAAAAAACAAAAAATGCAAATATTAATGCATTATTACGAATAACGTTAAACCAAAAATATCAAAGAAACTTTGAGTATACTAAAATTATATGCAATTAAAAAAAATCAATTAACAGCTTGTTAAGTTTTTATTTTTCTAATGGTCCATTCAGTACAAGGTCCATTCAGTACCACTCTCCCCTACTATTCAATACCTGAATCTACTCAATATCTCTGTGAGAATAAGAATAAATTTTCAATATTGCATATTAATATTTGAAGCATGAGTAAAAATTTCGAGAACTTTAAGTGTTTATTGAGAGAGCTTAATCATGATTTTAAAATAATTTGTTTCACAGAAACTTGGCTTAAAAACAATGAAACAAATTCTAATTTTGAGTTAAAAAACTATATAACAGTTCATCAAATGCGCGATATTTGCTTTGGTGGTGGTATAAGCATATACGTTTACAATTCTATTGATTTTATTCAACGTAAAGATCTTAATGTAAACAATACAGATTGTGAGGCATTATGCGTTGAGATAATAAATAAATTAGCTAAATATTTCATAATCAATGCTATTTATAAAACGCCAGCTGGTAGTTTAAACATTCAAAAAAACATTCAAAACTTATCTGCGCACATTCCTAAACACAAAAAATATATTGCAAAAGCATGTTTACGTAGTTGGGGATATCAACATTGAATTACTCAACCATGCCTTACATAGTGAAGCAAAAACTTTTATTGACATTCTTCTCGAATACAACCTTATCTTAACTATAAACAAAGCAACAAGAGTTACTAAAAAATCATCGACATTGTTTGATAATGTTATAATTAACAATTTTCATAATAGCCGTTTTAAAACTGGTATAATCAAGACTGATTTAACTGATCATTTCCCTGTAATCCCTATTACTGAGAGCGTTACTCTAAATAATGCTACCTGCAAATCAACAGTATTCATGAGACAAATCAATGAAAGTTCCATATGCCAATTTAAAAATTTATTAAATAATTACGTTGATTGGAATATTGTTCTGCAATCACACGATGTAAATAATATTTCTTAACCAATTTTCTAAAATGTATGATAAGGCATTTCCTTTAAAAGTGAAAGTAATAAACTCAAAGTCGGTTGTATCCCTAAAGGATGACTAAAAGCTTACTAAAATCATCAAGGAAAAAACAAAAATTGTATGATAAATATTTAAAAAATAAAGCTTATAAAAATGAAACTAATTACAAAAATTAAAAAATATTTATTTGAAAAAAGTAAAAAAAGATAAAAAGTAAATTACTATGCTAAACTGCTTGAAAAAAAATAAACCCTCAAAAAACGTGGAGTGTTATTAGAAAATTAATTGGGAAAAATAAAATTGAAAAAAATAACTTACCGCAAAAACTTATTATTGAGGGAAAAATGATTTATCATAAAAGAGTTATTATTGAGAAATTAAACAATTTTTTTCTTGATGTTGGCCCAAACCTAGCAGCGAAAATTCTAGTTGGTCAAAACAAATTTGATTCCTATCTTGCAACAATTGATTTAATTATGGAAGAACCGATTTTAACCAAAAGTGAACTACATACTGCTTTTAATAGTGTGAAAAAAAATAAAAGTACAGGTATAGATCAAATTAATGTTAGAGTAATTAAATCTGTTTTTAATATTATCGAACCCTCATTGTTCCATATTTTTAATCTCTTCCTTAAATCAGGTCATATTCCAGATAAAATAAAAATTGCAAAAATAACACCTATTTTCAAATATTGCGATGAGGCCAATATTTCAAACTACAGACCAATCTCAGTCTTACCCTGCTTTTCTAAACTAATTGAACGCATTGTGTACAACAGACTTTATAAATATCTATCTGAAAATAAGATTTTATATAATAATCAATACAGTTTTAAAAAAAATCATTTTACTGACCATGCAATAACTGAATTGGTTAAGCATATATCAAATGGATTTAATAGTAATTGCTATACAATAGGGGTTTTTATTGATTTATCCAAAGCTTTCGACACTGTAAATCATGAAATTCTTTTGAAAAAATTAGAAAACTATGGTGTTAAAAATCAAAGTTTACTTAGGTTTAAATCATACTTAACTAACAGTAAGCAATTTATACTTAAAGAATCAAAAGATTTATTACTTAAAGAATCCAAAAACAACTTAATAACTTGTGGAGTACCTCAAGATTTTATTTTAGGACCATTATTGTTCTTACTTTATATAAATGACTTATATTTATCATCAAAAGTATTAAATACTATCTTATTTGCAGATGACACTAATTTGTTTTATTCTCACAAAGGTATTACTGTTCTTTTTAAAATATTTAACTAAGAATTAGATAAGATCAACGAGTGGTTTCTAAGTAACCGACTATCATTAAATGTAGAGAAAACAAAACTTATCCTATTCCATAAACCTAGTTAAGCCGAGAATATTCCTCTTAAACTACCCAATCTTTTAATCAATAACAAAATAATTAAAAGGGAATTGACTACAAACTTTCTGAGAGTGCTCTTAGATAAAAAATTGTCATGGAAATTTCATATTAAATATATTGAAGGTAAGATCTCAAAAAAAAATGTTATACCGAACAAAACCTTTTCTTAATAACGAGTCTTTAAAAAATTTATATTTTTTGTTTATACACACCTGTCTTTCATACTGTAACATTTCCTGGGGTAGCACTAATCACACTAAACTCAAAAAAATTTATAGTAATCAAAAACATGCTTGCAGGATAGTATTTGGGGAAAATAGAAAAACTCAATGCAAACCTCTCATACGCCAGCTTTGAGCTTTAAATATTTATAAGCTTAATATTCATCAAGTAATATTATTCATGTTTAAAGCAAAACTTGGGTTTTCTCCAGTCACATTTCAATCCTACTTTAATGAAATCTCCCATAAATATCCAACTAAATTTTCAGTGAATAACTTTGTGGTTCCCATAAACCTTCTTAAATTAAGTTCGTACCAAACTCAATATCGGGGACCTTTAGTTTGGAAAAAATTTCTTCCAATCTTTAGTAAAAAATAAAACTTCGTTTTAAACTGCACTTTGCAAAGTTTTAAGGATAATTCAAAACGGCATTTACTGAACATGGAATTCGATATATTAGATTTCAAATTCCTCTTTTGAAAACAATTAAAAGGTTTAAACTTAAAAACTTAAAAATAAATTAAATCTTTATCACTTTCTTTAGTTTTTATTAAAATGGTTTCAAACCATTAGTATAAAAGATAACAAAAATAAAATTGTCTTTTTCGTTCATATTTTTGATGATATTAAATAATCAGCCCAAATACTTTTGTTTACTTTTGTTTTGTTTGTTTTTTTAATTGAACAACGCATTTTTTTTTGTGGTTTTTTAACTTTTATGATTTTCTGTCGTTTTTATTTTTTTATTTTTAAAATTATTCTGCTGGAAGATTGTTAGCAACAAATTATTTTATTGCTGAAGTTTTTGATTTGTTTTTGTTTTTGTATTTATACTGTCTATGTCTATTATCATTTATTGTACATGTAATATATATATATATATATATATATATATATGTATATATATATATATATATATATATATATATATATATATATATATATATATATATATATATATATATATATATATATATAAATATATAAATATATATATATATATATATATATATATATATATATTTTACATATATATATATTTATATATATATATATACAGTGGCGGATTATCAAATTATAGGCCTATAGGCTTAACTAATTCATGGGCCCTATAAACCTATATTTTTCTAAAAAATACGTCAAAAAGTACAATTTTAATTTTATTTATAATAATAATATCTATAATAAAATCTAATTTTATTTCAAAATTACAAACAAATTATCAGTCATATTAGATACTAGTATATATTTTATAAATGGCTGACCCAAAGAAAAAAACAACACGATCAAAAATTCATTTTTCTGCATTTTCGTTCAACAAAGTCTGATAAAATTTCATTGAAGTCACAGCTTCTTAGGATGTCAGATTCAGTACACATAACAGTATGGGAATTTAGTTTGTCACCACCCAAAGCACTTCGCAGTTTTTTATCCGTTTCAATGCAGAGAATGATCTTTCATCACTGCAGTTGGTGATTATCAAACTGAGGTATATGTGAAGTGCTGTGGCAGCATTTGGAAATATATCTTGTAGTGCACTGCTGTTTCTCAAAGCCCAATACATATACAGCTCTATGCTACGTTTCAGTTCTTTCTCATTCTGTTGCAAGTACGTATCAGCTAACAAATATTCTTTGAAGTGAAGTATTTCATCTTCAAATGACTCTTCCAAATCATCTACATATGTCACGCAGTTTACAGCTGATGCACCGACTAAATTAAGGGAGTGTGCAAAACATGGCACATATTCAGCCAATGGGTTCTTCTCTCGAATGCGTGCCTGTAACCCTGAATATTTTCCTGCCATATTGCTAGCATTATCGTAGGACTGACCTCGGCAATATTTTATATCCAACTTTGCTTCTTCCAGAAAGCTGTATAAACTGTTAAACAAATCTTCTGCCCCATGTCCTTTCATGCTTAAAAATTGCACAAACCTTTCTATAGGGCCATCGTTCAAAACATATCGAAAGACACATGACAGCCTATCAACATGAGGTATGTCTGGAGTAGAGTCAACAGAAATCGAATAAATTTTTGCTCCACGTATTTCAGACAATATTGTTTTCATAACTTGCTTTCCCATGACATCAATTAACTCATCACAAATTGTTGATGACAGGTATGAAACAGAGCCTTTGCCCTTACTACCATGGTTGTCAATATGACTGGAGAGGAATGGATCAAACTGAGCAATCAACTCCAAAATTCCCTAAAAATTGCCATTAGAACTTGACCCCAATATTTCAGTATGTCCTCTAAATGCCAGCCCTCTTTCAGCAAGGAATTTGATAACTGAGACAACTCTTTCTAGCACAGATTTTGCATATGCACATTCCTGTCTGTATTGCTCAACTATTGCTGAATCTACACATCCTCTGACTTGTACTCTTTGGCTGAATGTGATTGTTGCATTTCTATGTGCAATGCTGTTTTCATGTGACTGTATTCGTGAAGCTGCATTTTTCCAATCACAAAAACCATTCCTTGAGAATGAATTATCATCAGGAGAAAATAATTTACATACAAAGCAGTAAATGCGAGATGTTGCTGGTGAATAACACAACCATGACCTTGGGACTTTCTCACCATTGCGAGAATGAACACGATAAAAGAGATTCTGTGAGCAGTAGCGCTTCTGTTTTCCATCAATTTGCATTGAACTAGTGAAGTCAGCATTTGAATGTTAACAACATTCACTGCCACGAGTTACCCAAAAGTTACAGAATGTATAATTGATTTTTACTTCAGACCATTGCCCAATGTCAGTGGATAAGGAATTGTCATTACCTTTGGAACCAGCTTGTGCTTCTGGTTTCTGAGAAAGTGTCTCCGCGCCTACCATATCATCAGATTCAGAGTGAGAGATAGATTGAGTGCATACAGCTGCAACACTGTTATCACGTTCAAATTCATGACCAAATTGACCAGGCAAACCACACTGACCAACACATGGTAAAGGTGAATTCGATGGTGGGTCTTCTCTATTGACATTGACAATAATCGTAGGAAAAAGCTCAGTTATTTTAACAGTTTTTGAAATGACCGCTTCCTCACGTTTCTTTTTATCTTCACGGTCTTTAGCTTTTTGATACCCAGACTTGTGATGATATGCCATTATGACCTGAAATCGAAAAACATACAATGTAGATACTGCATTATTATATATATATATATATATATATATATATATATATATATATATATATATATATATATATATATATATATATATATATATATATATATATATATAACGGTATAACTAAAATATTACGGTATAATAGGCTCAACATTTAAGTGGATTCAAAGCTATTTGTCTAACAGAAAGCAATTTGTATTACTAGAAAAGTCAGGAACCTCGATATTACGTGTGGAGTTCCTCAGGGTACAAACCTAGGTCCATTATTGTTCTGAATTTATATTAACGATATGCATAAAGCATCCCAAAAAATATCTGCAATTATGTATGCTGTCAGTAGTGTCAATTTGTTCAAGAATATCATTCTCATCATAACTGGGCTACAAAATTGATTTTTTAGTTTAAAAATAACATTTGGTTCTGATAAAGCAAAATTTTGACTAAAACAAAGTAATCAACAAACATTTGGGCAGCATAACTGGGCTAAAAAATTGATTTTTTAGTTTAAAAATAACATTTGGTTCTGATAAAACAAATTTTTGACTAAGACAAAGTAATCAACAAACATTTGGGCAGCATAACTGGGCTACAAAATTGATTTTTTAGTTTAAAAATAACATTTGGTTCTGATACATTCATTTATCCATGATACATACCTATATCGATATTTGCTGTAAAAAAAATTTGCAATCATCTTTCGAACCGGGCCCCTATGGCTGACGGGCCCCTAGGCTTCAGCCTACTCATGTCATTTATTTTAAAAGTTTTTTAGTATTTCCTGTTTTTTCTACCAGTTACAAATATACAAAATGTGTATAGATTTTCTATATTTAAATCAGCACAATTTTCTTTAAAATTTGAAATCAACACAATTTTCTTTAGAAAGGAATGGTCTTAGAAATTCAATTACAAAAGGTCTATTGAATATTTTATTGATTAGCAATTGATAGTCTAAAGAAACCTCTATTTTTATAGGCTATTTGCTTCAAAATACCTATAGAGAATAGTATAAGTTAATTTTATAGAAAAACTATACAAATTTTGTTATGAGGTAGGGGAAAAAATTAATAACAATTCCATTTTTTCACTTTTAAATTGAATTCTTAACAGTTAAATTACTGTTTGAAAGTTTTACTTCTCGTGGTTGTCTCTGATTTGCTAATTATTCTAAAGCAAAAAAATATTCTTCAATCGAATCAGTCCAAGTTCATGAAAGAACTAGATTTAAAACTTCAGTTAGTTAACTATATGGATCAAAAATTTACAACGAGCTAAGGAGCACAGATCTTCACAAATCTTCGAGATTTAATTGAAAACAAAAGTTTCACTTGATAACTTTCGTATTTATGAGTATCTTCAGCATCAAAACCAGTTTACAAAACATTCAATATAGCTGTATTACCACCAACAATTTCCGGAGCAAAGCAACATTCTATTTGTGTCTACCATCAAGTACAGCAATGGCGCGGTAATAACTTGGATCCACTGCAATGGGGGTTGGAAAAATTTAGGATCAAATCTCTCACCAACTTCAAACCTTTAAGCGCCAGATCCAGAAAATTTGTTGCATATTGTTAGTTGTAACTGCAAAACTGGATGCGTTAGGAATTGCGAATGTAAAAAAGATAAATACAGTTTTATGAATAATATAATGATAATAGCGATTAAAATAACACAAAACTTTTTACTAAACTAATACAATTCTGTGATAATTGATTTGCAATAATTGAAAACGGCTTTTAATAGTTATTTAAATAGCATTTAGGTGGCTTAAATTGCTCATTAATGTGTGGTCATGCAGGCACACCGGAAAGGGGTAGCTTAGGGTTGCAACTGCTACTCCGCCATTTTTGTTGGAGTGGCAAGGGTACCGTGAATGTCCCTTTTCTAGGAAAAAGGTATGGTAAATTTTTGTTCTTTAAAGGCATTTCATTATCCAACATTTCTTTATCATAATTTAATATCTGAGCTGGTAATAGGTGGGATAGGTGGCAACAGATTAATTTTTTAAAGAGAAAACAATTTAAAATTGAGTTAAATGAATCAAAAAAATATTATACTGAAGAGAATAGAAGAACTTGTATAAATGCTTGGTTTAAGGAGTTTAGTTTATTATTTTATGTTTAGTTTATTATTTTTTGGTTTAAGGAGTTTAGTTTATTATTTTATCACTGAAAGCTGTATTTTGTGAAAACTGTACAAAATATGATTCATGTTCTGGTGGAGTGTTCAAACATGGAGTTTAAAAAGGATTTAGAACATGGAACAAATCTGCAGCAACACTAAAAGATCTCAAGGAATCCAGAGTTCATTAGGCTCCAAGTACTCTATAGATTATGAAAGAAAATACAAAATTTACAACAATTAATGCTCAAATTGACCAAATGTACATGGGGAAGCAAGCAGTTCGGAGAAAAGGCTTGCTAGCTCATTTCGGAACATTGAAAACATTGCTTCGACAGAGTGTAGCTATAATAGGTTATAATTGTAAAAAATCCAATATTTACCAGTTTAATTTGGATAAGAATGAAAGTGGCAACGCATTATAAATGCTAATGATTGAAAACCATTATGTTTTATCTCATGACATCTTGCAAGAATAAGAACAAATACTCACCATAAAAGCACAAAAGAAGATTGTTGAACTGATCAAAGATAAACATTCTATTCGGTACTTGAAGATGAATCCTCAGATATTACTATGAAGAAACAAATTTCGTTTAATATAAGAACTTGCAGTGACAACTATGAAGTGAATGAAGACTTTATCGGTGTATATGAATGCGTAAACGGTCTTTCTTCAGATGTCTTGGTGACATATATTGAAGATATCCTTTTGAGATGCAACTTGGAATGTACAAAAATTGCCGGAATTGTCTTTGATGGAGCATCACTTATAAAATGCTTGGCAGCAAAACTGAAAAATATTTTTAAATAGCAAGCACAATATTTTCGTTGCATGGCACATTGCAGCAAGCTCGTTGTTAAGGATAAATATGCAATATTATCATTACTGTCAGTTTCTCTCAGCATTGTCCAGTCAATTTATGTAACTGTTGGGGCATATCCAAAGTGTATTGCCTTTTTCAAACAAATCCAAAATGATATGTTGCGTGACTCTGAATTAGAAGAACTCAGAATATTGCGGCTGAAGTCTTGATTCCAGGTATTTTTTGAAAACAAAAAAATACCTAGAATCAAGTAATACCTAGTATTGTCTTGAAGACAAAAAAATACCTAGAATCAAGACTTCAGAGAGACAAAGAGTAATACCTAAAACATTACACGATTCAGTAATTACTGAAAAGTTTAAATTGGGCGCTGGATTGACTGGTCCTCTATCTACATTATCATGTGAAAGTTAAAAGGTTTATTTATATTTGATATTATATATAGTAAAATATTGTGTTGATAATTTGGCAAGTGTTTTTGTGTTTTGTTTTGCTACCCCTGCCCTTAGGCTCTTCCAGCGTACTTAGGGTCATGCCACGTAGTGGGTTGCTCAAATCACGCAAACGTAAATGATGCTGACACTGATGAAGAAAAAGATTATGAAAATGACACAGATGGAGATGTCAATTGCTCAGATGAAGAGCTAATATGATAATTTACATTCAATAAATTAGAGTTTACATATTGAAAAACGTGTAGTTAAGCTATTATTCAATATACGATGTGATACTGTTTAAAGTTTCCGATTTCTTTATTTAATATTTGTATATACAATAGCATTTTCTTCTGAGCAAATTTCTCGGAGACTTGTAAAACCGTGGGTTTACTATGAACAATTACTTTTTATACCAATATTTATAAAACATTTATTGAAAATTTATATTCGACATGCTACATCTTTGTTTCTTTAATGACAAATTACAAGACACAAAAATTGTTTTTAAAAGTGATAAACAAACTTTCATATTTTAGTTTAGCTGCTGTTTAGACAGACATCTTGGGTATTATTAACCTTTTTTTTTTCACCAAAAAAATAAAATTGTGAAAAATGAGTTGCTCGATATAAAAAACATAATATTTGACGCAAACATTGTACTTCAATTTCATCAACAAGCTGAGTTATTGAACGTTTCAATTTTAAAATTATTTTTTGCCGCCATCTTGGATTTTGACTGCTATTTTGTTTTTTCATAAAACTATAACAGTCAGAAATTACTTTCTAGACTTCATAAACAAAATAGTAGACACAAGAGTCATGTTTCTAAGTGATCTACAAGCTCAGATATTACAAATTGAATTTTAGATGCCATCTTAGACGCCATCTTGGATTTCAGATAAAGGTCCACTCCATATTTGGCCGATTTTTCTGATATGAATCAGGAGTGCATACAGAACATTTACAAAACCTAATTTGACTGGCCTATATGTTCGAGTACACATTTTTGTTTTAAACGGAATTCATCTTAGGTTCAGAGAAATGACATCAAGAATGGTTTTGATATAATTTAGAATCAAATTTTAATGCAAAATTAAAATTTTTTATGACATTACGTATTAGCAAACAA